AAAAAAAGTTTCGTAAAGAAAAAACGTTCCTGTAGTGTTTTATTTAGCATTTAGCAAAAAAAAAAAATATTTTATAGGAAATTTGTTTGAATTTAGTTAAATTTACTTTAGTGGGAAATGTATTTATTTTTATAGTAAATAGAGTCACATATTTTAAAACCTGTTGGCAAAAAAAAGGAGTCCATAGATTCCCTGCTCTATCTGTGTCAGTCTTAACAGAAATGTTTTAATCTCCTTCATATTTGAGTCCCTTAGCATTTTGAAAAGCAAATCAGGAGCCTCAGCAGAGGGTCTCAAGGGCCACATGTGGCCCTAGAGCCACAGTTTGGAAACCCCTGTAGTAAAACTTTGGTAAGCTGCAAAAACAATCTAGAAAAAACAAGTAAAAATGTCCTAAATTAAGTGTATTTCCCCTTAATTTGAGCAGGTAAATAAGATGATTACCAAAGGAATTAGTGTTTTTATCTTAATATAAGATAATTAGATAACATGCAATTGTCTTTTCTTATTTTAAAAGTAAATTATCTTGTTCCATTGGCAAAGTGTCTCACTTAGCTTCTCAATTCAAGAAAAAATGCACTTATTATAAGAAAATATGACTTATTTAGATTTCAAATTTTTGCATTGATAAAACTCGTAATTCTGCAAAAAAGATGAGTAAAGAGTTTTCATTTGAATAAAATCATAAGAAGTTTTTAGTCTTTAGAAGAAAGACAAACAGACCTGGCGTACTGCGGCCCGGTGGTCTTGTACCATTGGCTGGATGCTGTCAGGTCCTCATCTCTGATTCGTCCATCCTCCATGCCCAGTGCATAGCGACAATGTTCTGAAGACCAAAATCACACAGAGGAGCAGTTTAAGTGTGGGTTCTAATCCCGGGAGCGGTTTGCTTTCAGGGTGCGTACCTGGATCGATCTGACCGATGGCTGCTGGAAGCTGAAGGGTCAGCAGCAGAAGGAGGTGCATGATGGTCCAACAGTCACACCAACACAGCGCTACATCTCTGAGAGACAAACAGAGAAAGAAGGATTCCTGCTCAGATCATCGAGGATTCAGAGAAAAACAGGAGAGAAACTAACAGGAGGAGGGATAAAGTATTTAAAACCCGATGGTTTCAGTGTTTGTTGAATTTCAAACCTTTCAGATCATTTTACCCTTTAATTAGATAAACTAAAAGAATATTTCATTTAGGGATGGAAAGCAACTGTAGAAACACCCTTCTAGTTATATAATTTATCATAGTTTCATTATCACCCGGTCTGCAACACGAACCAAGCAGAACCAGTCAGGCAGCGTGAAGTAGGTTGAAGGATCTCACTGATCTACAGAAATACAACCATCCAAATTCAGAAAATGTTTGAAAGGATGCAAGAAAGAAAATGTGATTTAGATTTGTTTCCATTAATGGTAGCAAATTAACCAGGTGATAAAAAGTTTAATGCAGGTTAGTGACCATCATAATCTGATGGAGGATGATTATCCATGTGAGTCACTAACATGGTGTAAACAGTTCAGTCCTTGCCCAGAGACTGAGCTAGCATCCAGCTACCCAGAGGGTCCCAAATGCAGAGAACATGCAGGAGTCCAAAGACAGTTCAGGCAAACCCTTCAGATGGGAACAGGCAGACTCAGTGGTTGAGAGGCAGAACAGGTCAGGATCAGGAAATCAGAAACGCCAAGGAACTCTAAACCTACTCTCACCACTGGCTGTAGAGAACAAGATAATCTGGCCCTGATGACTGGAGGCAAGCAGCTTAAATAGAGGCAGGAGCAGGTGGATCAGATGAGAGGTAACGAGCAACCAGGCAGAGTTAGACAGGTGAATGAAATAAGCAATTAAGCCGGTCATCAGTGGCAAGATCATGACAACAGCCCAGCAATGGAGCGAAGTTTTAATGAATGTGTGACGATCGCTAAGTTGAATCTCTTTTATTTAGTGTGATCCAGAGATGTACAGACAGAGAAGTATGATTCTGATGATTACTTTCAGGGTGGCAGAAACAGCTGATCAGCCCAGTCAGGTAAATGTAGCTACATCAGAACTTATTTGACAAATTTGTTTCCAAAAAAATAGTCAAAAACCATCTCAGGTGAAACCAGCCTAACAGAGCAGGACCTCTGTTAAACAGGGCAGTGGGAGTGTGATGGTATGGGCTGCTTTGCTCTGAATGACCTGCTGTAACCGATATAACAATGAGGTCTAAAGACTCAGAGGAAGAATATCCAGCCTGAGACTTTAAAGGAGAAGTTTGGTCAGCAAGAAATAATCAATGGATCTTTATTTATACCTAAAACTAATACGTTTGCGGTGATTTATTTAATTTAGCGTTAATCAGTAAAAAAATGAAAGCAATAATTTTTCTCTCGATTGCTGAGTCTGGGAGCGGCCATTTTTGCCCAAATATAGTGTAACCGAGCATTTTTGGTCCGTAACTATGAAACTTATATCCAATAACGGGACAGGAGACGGGCCGGAGTTTTCGGCGGTACCCCGCTTCCGGTTTATTTTCTTCTTCTTCTCTTTACAACACATAACAAAAACTCACATGCTCCCCCTGCTGTACACCCAGCGAACTTTCGCTCTCCGGCAACAGGGATGGATACACCTTTTCTATACAGACACAAAACAGTCGGTTACAATAGTAACCCCTCCCTCCTGCCATCTTCCAGCAGTGACGTCACGGTGCGGTAAGCCTAGCGCCATTCTCCCCGCTTTACAAGCTAAATCAATGGGAACTACTAGACACATCTGCAATCAACAACAATTATTGAAGATTTCTTTGACAGTAGTGTTCTTTGAAAAACATGGATGCCTCCAGTAAATCACGTTCAGATTAAAATTACTCTGAATTAAAAACACTGATAATTTATTGAACAGGATGGAATAATTTCATATTTAAAGAACTTTCAGAAGTTTGAATTCTGAATAAGCTTTACATTTCCTTTAAACTCAACACAGTTTGGTTTAAATCCTGGTCTTTAGTCTGAATGAGAAGCTATGGAGACCCCATCAGGTCCTTCAGGTGTCAGAATTAGTCCTGCAAAGCAGCAAGGGTCAAAGTTCACCTAAAAATGACTCACTTCCTGTTCTAAACGAGCAGCAGTCTCTGGGCTAACGTTTTTCTGAATAATGGATGCATTAGCATGTTATTTTGTCTAATTATGAAATCGGTTTTATTGGTTCCTCCTGACTTCCAACATGGCATAAAGTTACAAACACAGATCAGAGAGTCATTTAGTCACCTGGAATTAAAAATGTTTCCATTAACGCCAAAATGCATTTATGTGAAATTTTTTCTCTGCAGCCTCAATCTGAGCTTTTTATTTGAAATAAATTCGCAGTAGAAACAGAGAAGGATGTTTGCTTCTCTTGGATTTCAGTGAAATTTGCTTTGTGAGTCTAGTAAAGTAATAAATCCTCATTTATGTAAATATTTTGACCTTTAAGGGTGAAACGCCTCTCTGGGGCTCTGATTCACTAGAATAGTGATTTTTTTTCTCTCTGTTTTGACAGGATGATATGAAACATTCACTACAACAGAAAAACATTTTAAAACCTTTACACCAGGGAGCGTAACGTCCAGGAGGATCTACTGCAGCAGGATGTGAGCCGTGCATCCTGAGCGTGTTTAGCCTGCGTCGCCAAGGAGACGTGTGTTTCAGGAAGAGGCAGCTCGATGCTTTCTGAGGGGTTTTCCTAACCTTAACCACGTAGAAACAATAAAAGCCACGAAGCTGAGAGGATTTCAGGCTCATGGTGGGATTTTTACCGGGTTTCATCGACCTGTTAGTCATTTCCAGCAGCCTTCAGACTGGGACATGTTTCCATTTCATAAAAACCTCTAAACTGAGACAAAAATCATCTAATTAGCATCAAATGCAGCAGTTTAAGCAAACCAAATGAGTTCCTTGTTTCTTCATGCAGGAGTTGAGTGTCTCCTAATGTCAGAGTGCGGCTCGGATGGCTGCCAGCGCCATTAACGACCCTTTCTTTGTCTGATTTCATAATGTTGTGGCTGTCAGCGTTCATGAAAACATCGGCCCACTCGCTGAGGTTACACAACACAGAAACAACTCCGGGTATCCAACACACATTTCATTTCAGAGGCTCATCGTTCCCTCGCTGCCAAGTCACCGTTTCCAAACGATAGAGCTCCAGTCTCCAGGGAAAACAGCTGGACGGGGCGGGAAGAACCCGGAGGGGAGAAAACGGACAAAGACAGGAAGACGGAGCGAGGAGGTGATAAGGAAGAGAAAGAAAACCAGGGAAGGAGAAAAGATGAAGAGAACAAAGGAGGGAAGAAGAAACTTTATGGACTTAAAAGGTCATTAATGAATCATGATGCTGTTTAAAAAGTTCTATTAACTTAAACATGTTTGATTATTCTGAGCTTGAAATCCTTAAACATGTCATCAGTTTAAAGTCGCAGACAGAAATAAACAACTTTAAGGTAAAAACCGAAATAAATGAAGAATAAAACCAAATTTAGACGAGCTTTTATTCTGAAAATGTTTAAAAACTCTCAGCTGACTGAACTTCAGCCTGATCTAACATTAGGTGTCAGACAAAGACCAAAGTCCGAGAGCGTCTTCCAGAAGACGGTCCCTGGCCTATAGGAGCCCGTTTCTACATCTAGAGCAGCAGGTAGAGCCAGAACCAATCAGACCTTTGGGGAACGAGGCTAAACCAGGACCAGAGGGAGGATCTACAGCAGGTTAGGACAATTCTAAGGTTCCCTGGTTGAGAAAGTCAGCAGAGTGGCACCTTGGAGTCTATCTTAAAGTTGCAACATCAAGAAAACCTGCAAAAATTTTACAAGGAAAGAGTCGCTGCATTCAGCCTAGTTTAGAAAATGCTGCTTTAGTTCAGGTTTCAGGTGGTTCTGGGTCTCAATCTCAACATTAAGCAGGAAATCAGAGCCGAAGCACTGAACCTCCAAGAACGACCAAACCTCCATCAGCGTGCTGGGGGGGAACTTTCCAGTAACAGACCTCAGATGTTTGACCAGCTGCTATCTGACCACAGTTAACCCAACAACCTTCCATCAGCGTTCCCTCCCTGCAGCCGGATGCTGAACTACTGCAGCTCCTGAAACAAACCGTTTCTCTGAATAATGTCCGACGTTCTTTCAGGAAGTGACTTTATGGACTCGGCGGAGCTCTGGGTCAGTCTTTTCCTTTCTGGCTGAGTCAACGAGGGTGAGGAAGGAGCTTTATGTAACGTTCTGGCTGAAGCTCAGATTCCTGCACCGTTGCTCATCTCTGCAGCGGGAATCACATGACAGCAGAGAGAAAGACACAGAGACAAAGGAACCAGCAGGAGAAAACAAAAAGGCTCCAGATGAAAAGCTCAGCAATTCTTAAACTCACCAGAAAACTGCATAAAAACAATTCCTTTCAAGCATTTTTTAACAATTCAAAAGATAGTTAGAACATGTAAATTCTCATTCATCTGGTTCATGGCGAGAAACATTTCAACGCCTTTCCAGAAGTTTTTCAATCTGTCAGCCGGATAAGACAACTGGAAAGGTGTTGAAATGTCTTCAGAAAGAAACTGTCTGGCTTCCAATTTAAGCAAGTTTGTGGTCATAGTTAGAACAAAATTATATGGCAGCAGATAAAACATCTCTAGGGGCAGTAAAGTACATTTATTTCAACATACTGGCTCAAAAGGAAGGATCACTCACTGTGTTCAGACCAGAACTGTGACCATGGACTTTTACAGTACCCTTTGAAAACCGATCTGTGCCGAGCTCGGTCCCTTATGACCGTTTACACACCACGCTAGCACGGCTCCTCGCCTGCTAGTGGTGATCTATGGTTTGCAGAGAGTCAGGCGAAGTAGGCAGCCTTTGGTGAATTTACTTGACAGAGTCGGCATTTGATAACCTGACTCCGCCTTGCTCCGCATATCCATCTGGAAACCTTCCGTTTAAGTAATTTTGGGAAGGGACGAAAATACTGGTTAGCTGATTGGCCTATGTTGGTGATAGACGGGCCAAA